GACGGACACCGGGCTGGGGGGGCTGGGTCTGAAGGGGGCATGGAGGGGGGGGGGGACATCGGGCTGGGGGGGCTGGGTCTGAAGGGGGCGTGGAAGGGGGTGGTCGGGGGGGGGACACCGGGCTGGGGGGGCTGGGTCTGAAGGGGGCGTGGAAGGGGCCGGGAGCAAGTGGGTCTGATCCATTTCTCCCCCTCCAGCTCTGGCTGCACCTGAGACCCCTTGTTCAGCATCTGCTCCAGCTCTGCACCCCGAAAGGTGAGTCAAGAGCAGAGAGCAGGGGCAGGGCCCCCCCCCCTTCTCCCAGCATCCTCCGGGCAGGATCCCACTCATCCCAGAATCCTCTAGGGCAGGGACGCCCTTCCCCCACGTCCCCCAGGGCAGGACCTCCCTTCTCCCAGCATCCTCCAGGGCTGGGGGGGGACACACACACTGAGCCACATGCTCCCACAATGCCCCTGGGCAGGGGAGGCCATGGGGGGGGAACATGAGGCTGGTGGGGGGGCTGACGCTCCCTTTCTCTCCCCCTGTAGTGGACTCTCTGAGCAGACCGGCCGCCCCCCCGGCCAGGCCCCGCAGCCCCCCAGCAGTGCCAGGAGCTTGGAGGGCCTCCAGCCCCACGGCGGCTGGCCGAAGACCCCACCCGGGGGCCCATCGCTGCTCCCGCCGCCCCCCAGCCAGCGCCCCCCCCCGGCCTGAAGATGGGGGAGCCCTGGGCACGCCCTGGAGCCCGCCCGGCCGTGCCCCACAACCTGGGGGGTCACCCGGCCCCATGCCCCACCCACCGCGCCTATGTCTGCCCCCTGCCCGAGAGCCCCGGCTGGAGCCCGCTGACCCCCAGCCTGGGCGGGGTCCCCTCCAAGGGCTGGCAGGGGGACTCCGCTGGGGAGGGTGACTCCGTGTACCCCCCCAGCTCCTCCTTCACCTGCTGGAACCGGGAGGGCTCAGGGGTCCTGCGCTAGGCCCCCCGGGGACAATAAAGTGCAGAGCATAGAGCGGCTGGGGGTGACTTTCTGAGAAACAGTGACCTCCCATTCCACCCAGCCCCACAGCTCCCCCTCCAGGGGCAATTAGGTGGAGTCGGGGCTGGCCCTGGCCCCCATGAGCTGAGTTTGGGGGTCCCCCCAGCCCTGCCCAACAGGGGAGCAGCTCCTGCCCCATGGTGATGACAGAGGGACCCCCATCAGGGGAGATCTGGGGGACCCAGGCTGAGCAGCGTGGGGGGAAGCTCTCCCCACCCACCCCCATTCCCAGACCCCTATCTTCAGCCTCAGCTCCCCTGCGCCAGGCTCTGCCCCCACTCTGGCATGGGGCCAATACCAGGCTGCGCCCTACGGCCCCAGGGCTGCAAGGGAGAGGGCAGAGCAGGACTCCTGGGTTCCCTAAAGGCAGAGAAACGCCCTGTCCCTCTCCCCATCCAAGTGGGGGGCTGGGGGGCCAGGACTCCTGGGTTCCCCGGAGGCAGAGAGGCCCAGTGCGAGCAGGGGGTTGGGACTCCTGGGTTCCCCGGAGGCAGAAAGAGGCCCCATGCAAGCAGGAGGATGGGGGACCAAGACTCCTGGGTTCCCCAGATGCAGACAGGCCCCGTGCAAGGAAGGGGGTGGGGGGCCAGGATTCCTGGGTTCCCCAGAGGCAGAGAGGGGCCCTGTGCAAGCAGGGGGATGGGGGGCCGGGACTCCTAGGTTCCCCGGCGGAACAGACAGGCCCGGTGCAGAGATGAGGGCAGGGCTGGTTTATTGGGAGTTAGCAGGTTTACAGCGCAGTATTCACAGCTATGTACACGGGGGGGCAGCCCCCTTGTCGTCACTCCCTCCCCACTCCAGCCAGGCCAGGTACTGCAGGGGGGCGCCGATCCGTTAGCCTCTGGCACCCCCCACTGGCCTTTGCTGCCGCTGCCGCTGCCACACGCCACACAGGGAATGGGGTCAGATTCCCCGCCCCCGACCCGCCACACACACACACACACACACACACACACACACACACACACACACACA